TTTTTGGTTGATTTTTTTGGTTGGTTGTTTTGTTGGTTGTTTTTTTTGGGGGGGGATGTTTTAATAAATAAATGCAGTTGAAAATATTAGGCAACTAGAAAAGAGACTTTTTTAACTGAGGCATGCTGAGCTCAGTCCACTACCCCAGACTCTCAAAACAAGACACATTACAAAGACAATCCCTGTGTAGACACTAATGCTAAAATTATGATTGATTTTATTTTAGTTCAGTTTTGGTGAGGTTACACTACGACATTCACAACTTCTTAATTTTTTGAAGTGCACATAGTATTTAATTTGAGAGAAATGTGTTTTCATTGAAAAATACTTCGTATAACCTCTCTGTGCCTCATCTTCTTCTTTTATAAAACTTTTATGACAAATTTTACATCTGTCTTATAATTTTGAGGGGTTTGGATGAGTGGTGTTGTATTCTCACCAAGTGGCATGCTGACAGTTAACTTTTTGCATTAAATTTCCAGCTGCAAAAACCAGATTCTCCATCTTCTCATGATAAAAATGCAGCATCTTTCAGAAGAGATGCACTTCAGTGTGCCTCTTGTCAGTATGGTCAACATTTTTAAGTTAAATAGTCATTTTAAAAATTAAAGATTGATTTTTTTCCTAATATAAGAATGATAGTAAGAAGAACCATAGTGCTTTTGCGTGCACAATATGACAATGAGGTTGGAGGATATTCTACTCCAAGCAGGGCCACACAATAAGCTGCTCCTAAGATACAGCCTCATTAAAAGTGAATAATGTTGATACAAACCAATGTTAAATATCCAAATGTCACCAAATAACTAATTCTGTTTAATCAAATTATTTTTTCAGTTGTGTTGATCAAACATCACTGGGAACAGTCTCACAACTAAGTCGACCCTGCCTTTGTGTGCAGGGTCCTCACTCTTTCCATCAGGTTGATTTGCCATTACCACTGTTGGTCATAAAGCCACAGTCTACCTTAAAACTTATCCACCTACAAAACTTCCAGTGAAACATTTTCAGGTGGATCAACACCAAGATCCAGCTTCTGCTGAAACTATGGAAATGTCAGGTGCTGGCACAAAAGTCTAGGTGGGAGTGCAGTGATGGAGACATGGAGGATGGAAAACAGAATTGCCCCTCTGTGCCATGATATCTCCATGGATTCCTTTAAATATAGTGTGAGACAGGTAAAGAGGGATCCAGATTGCTGGAGGCTGCTGCTTTACCTACATGGGAATTGTGCTGAGGGAGAAAAGTGCTGTGTGTGTGTGGAAGGAGCAGGGACTGAGTGCAGAGTTCCAGAGCTAAAAGAAATTTTTGTTCAGATCCAAAGATCACACTTGCAGCTGTTCCCTGTTTTTATTTTTTTATTCTGTATTTTTCAGAGCTCATTTCTTCTATTATAAATATGTTAATCACAAGATTAGTGATAACTGAAAACACTAAGTGGAAGCTGATTTCAGATACAGCAATGAACTCTTTACCTCACAGTGTTTCACTGATGGTTTTTCTTAGAAAATGTCGTAAGATATGCACTTCTAATCTATGATCTGTTACTGAAGTGTTTACTTAGTGGACTTACCTGAAGGAATTAGCATCTCTTGTAAATTTTTTTTTTTTTCTACATAACATATAGTACGTGATGTCACATGTTCCATAACAGAAGTATGACCTGAACTAAGCAAAAAACCAATTGTGGATGAATGATGAAAAGAATGAAAATTATGTAAGTCTAAAAAAAATGCAGAAGTAATCCAATTACTATTTTTCCCTTCATGACCAATCTTCTAAAAAGAAGGATGTCCTCTATTCTTTTAAATATAATTCCAATAACTATACCTAGCTCAGAAAACTTAAAATATAGTTCTAGTTCACACACCTCTTGTGTGTGAACTATGTGTATATCTTTAAGAAAAAAAAACCAAAACACAAATAAAATGAAAACCCCAGCATAATGAGAAGTCCAATCACTCCAAATCAGTCTAATCAGTATGTAGTCCCATCTTTTTCTAATCCCTTCTGTTTATTTTCTTTTCCTTTTTTTATTCTGTCTTGGTCAGTTGTTGTAGGCTGGAGACAACGTGTTAAGTTACTGGATTTTCATGCTCTGCAAAGCTGCCTTGCATCTCTATTCCCAAGCACGATTCCTGTCTCCGAGCAAGAAAGAAACAGAGAAAGGGATGACCTTTGCAGCTGCCATTTTGAAAAAAAACTCTTCAAAGGTTGTGAAGAGAGAAGCCAGAAACCTGGGATGGCGAAATAGAAGAAAATGAAAACCTTTAGTGCTGCAGGGAGAAGCGTTTTGCCAAAAGGTGGTGGCAACAAATCCTCCGCTGGGTTTGTGTGGGCTCTCTGGGCACGAGGAGTGGCAGCGGCAGAAGGTCATGCTGAGATGGCTTCTGATGCTGGATGACTCATTGGAGAGAAGAAGTAGGATTTTTAGGCAGTGGATTCCAGCATTCTAATCTCACTGGTCTCCCAGAGACTCCTATTGCCTTCAGCACCACGTGGAAACACAGTTTTCCCTGGGGCTTTGATTCCCTTTCCCAAAACAAGCCCTCCCAGCAACTCAGCAGTGAGATGTTAAGAATTTAGAGAACAAGCTGTAAATTGCCTGGAAAGGATCTGCTGCAAGAGAGGTGAAATAACCACAGCTGCCAGAGACAGAATGTGCCTGGACAGATGGGACACCCCTGACAGACTGCAACACCCCACAAATGGCCCCAGATCAATATTCCAGGACAGGGAAACCACCCCTGGACTGGGTTAAAAAAAAAAAAAATCAGGGTTATGGGAAAGGAAATACCTCTTCAGGCAGATATTCTCAAACTGCCAACACCTAAAATAGCAATCCTAGAAACCTGAGCAAGGATGATCCCATTTTATTAAGGTCAGATGGAAAAGCAAAAGCCCCTATTAGGAGTGATAAGAGACAGCCAAATTGAATAGTATTGGAAAGATAACAACAGAAGCAAACAGCCAATATCCAAGCCATCTAGACTTTCCTAACACAGACCAGGGCTGGACCTGCCAGTAGTTAACTGCAGGTTTGGTGTATTTTCTCCTGAAAGTTTTTCTGCATAAAAAAAAGCAGCCCACAGAAACCTCAGTGCTCCTACAGTTTTTCTACGGTGCACAGCCAGGTCATCTTGCCTTGTTCACTGTTCTCTGTCCTTTTGGAGCTGCTGCCTGAGCTATAAAGGAACACCCTGCCACAGCTTTTCCTTTCATGTGTGAAGAAACACAAGAATTTATTCTGGTTGCACTGTCCAGCCTACCTAGGGATACTTGAAGCTATTGTTATTCAAAACATATGTTCTATGCTGTGCCTGAGTGACCAAATATAAATTTGCATTTCATTGATAGGAGGTTTTGTTTTCTGTGGCTTTGAGATAGCTGGTACTCCTTCCCATGGGACAGAGGTCTTCAGGGCAGCATAAGGGACATCTCCAGTGGGTTTTGAGTAGAATAACATATTTTTCTTTGATGTGGAGGGAATTGAACCAGATAAGTTAAAAACCATACTAGAGAGTGTAAACGTTTGATGATTCAAACTGCCGCTGTTTTACCCACACACCAAGAAAGGAATCTCAAAATACCTGCTAACTTCTGAGCCACCCAAACACCTACTTACGTAAGTGTTCTATTTTCCTAACAGCGGTTTGTGTTTCCATCCAGCACAAGCATTTCAATGTGTCCCCCCACAAATAAATCTGGTTGCTAAGAAAGACTATTGATTCACAGTTGTGAAAGACATATAAATAAAGATGTCTTACAGGTGAAAGAGACATCTGTTCACTCTGCAGTAATACAGTTCTTTTCAAGGAGTCCTCCCACAGCTTTTGAAAATGCCTCAGTAGTGCAGGGATGGGACTGAATGCACATCAAGGAGTTTGACTGATGGAATTCCATGTCTAATTGGTGGTACTTAGCCGTGAGTTTCCAACACACAGAGGAGTAGCAATGAGGTCTGCAATGTTTGCAAGTCAGTGTTACAGCTTTACTCTTGGCCCTACCTAGAAGCACGAGTTGATTTCAATTTGGGGTATGACTGTGTTCTGAATGGGGGACATGAGTAGCTTTCTTAGAATTGGCCCCAGGTTGAAAGGCACAAGTAGTAGGAGTGGGCCCATGAGAGGCATCTTAATATGGACAGCTCTGACTGCTTCAGGGCCCAGGTTCTCTCCCTCCAGCTCTGCCTTATTGCCCAACAGGAAAATGCAGCACAGGGCACCCTGCAAGCTCTTCCAGGGGAACTGAACCTGGACTGAAATAGATAGTTTCACTTACAGCCAAGGAAGGAAGGTTAAGAGCAAAAAGTGCAATTGTAAGTATGACTAAGCAGGGAGATTTATGCTGAAGAAAGACTTCAGAAAAAGAAAAAGGGGGGTTGAGGTTTAGAAAGAATTAAGGAACAGCTGAGTGCTCCAAAAATACAGTATTAACAATCTCTAGCAGCAGCAGCAGCAGCAGTATTCCTATGCCAGAAACTCAGCTTCCTGTTATAGGACCCAGTTGCTATAGAAACTTCCAACTGGGAGCTAAATAAAGTAATTTCTATGCTAGTGTTGGTGTCTGTAACTTCAGCACCTGATGCTAACCAAATTGTGCTCAATAAACAAATTTAAACTCTAAAAGCCTGCAATGAGTTCACAATGTTTTCTATACAACTGATTAATCCCAATTGATCTTGGCTTCAAACTCAAGAGCATGAGAAATCATAGAAACAGATAAAAGACTACCCTGGACAAATATGCCTCCCACTTTATTTCCTCCTTCTCCAGCATACATACCTCTTTATTCTGTCTTAGCTGTTTTTTATTTTGAAACTATCTTTTTCATGGCTAACCTTATACTTGAGCCTGACACCTCTGATCCTCTTTAGACAAATTAATTCTACATTAACCTGTGCTCGCTCTTGCATCCCTTTCACATTTCATTAAACGTTTACTTCAGGTTAAAAATTTGAGAAGCAATGTTAGCAACTGAGTGCAAATCCTTTCTCCTAGATCTCCAGCACAGGGATGAGGCACAAGGGACAAGTTTGCAAAAGCCTGCACAGGCAGCTCATACTGCAGGAACCGTGAGAAATGCTCGTCTCTCAGGGAACAGGAGCACAGATAAATCTGGTGAACCTGGATGCCAGAACATCGAGGGTAAGAAACACCTTCTCTTTAGAAAGGAGAAATTGTTATTGTTGTAGTTATTACTGTAGCACTTTCCTGTACTGACTAAGTAACAAGAGATCACCTCAAATGTTTCAAAATGCAGACTCTATTTCTGCATGATGTTAAATAGAAGTAAAGTTTGTTAGAATAAATAACACTGCTGCTATGAGTAGTCATGTAGGACAGATTTAGAACTCTTTATAATTGCCTTGTTACTGTTAGAGAAGCTGCCTGACTATTTCTGCAACATCTGGCAGGATGGTTGAAGCTACAAAGGGCATCACAGGGCCATGGCAGGGACTGCTCTCCCTTTGTCAGTCCTCTTCTTTATGTTCTAATTGCCCAAAGTATGTGAAGGAATGGGCTAAACATCTGGAGTACTTGGCACTTCTAGGAGAAGAAAGCAGAAGAGGAATGCAGCAGTGGTGAGGTGGAAGAGGTGGAAGTTTTCATCATTCCCAGGAAAGGTGAACAGCAAGAGACATTGCCTTATCCCCAGCAGAGGAACTGAGGAGCCTGAGCGGACAAAGATGTGTGTGGGCACCTGAAGATCATTCAGTCTAACCCAGCATGCAGACTGAAAACCAAGGGAAGGGACAGGAGAGCAGGAACAGCTCATCAGCTGCTGCAGGAGAAGGGACAGGAGGCAGAGCTGCTTGGAAGGGGCCAGGGCAGGCACATAAGAGTGCCCTGCAGCCACCATCATTTGCTGGGACGGGAGCTGCATTGGCTGCAGACACAGGGTTGTCCAAGGCCTCAGGGACATTCTGAAGCAAGAGCAGGGCTTGCCCAAAGCTTGGGCAGGGTAAGCTCAGATCTTAAGGCACATCTCTGACGCGTGGTGGGTTGCTGGGCTTGGGCAGGGGGTGGCAAAGAGCCGTCACTGCTGTGCCAGGTGGCTGGTGGCACGTGGATCCCTTGCAGGCTTTGGCAGGTGACACGGGCAGCTGGTGAGCACGAGCTGCCTGATGGCTCCCAGGAAGCAGCAGGCAGGCAGGCCAGGCTGCCAGCCAAGTCTGGAGAAAGTGGGCTCCTGGCCCTGACAGGAGAGCAGAGTCTAGCTTGTAGAGCTACTCAAAGGACCACAACAACTACTTGCTTGAGAAGAACTGGCCAGTGAAGTAGAGAAAGTCTGGGTTTTATCAGTGTCCATGTAAACCAAGGCATTATGTATGAGGTTAAAGTCTTTGAAACAAACCTGGTGAATTAGGCTGGACTTTGAAAGCTTTTGGTGGTATTTTTTCATCCAAGTCAGTGTGGTCATATCTTAATATAAAACTAGCTGGGACTTTGGAAGAAGGGCTACACTGTTCATATCTTGTCAGAAGCAATGTGTGTGGGATGCATATGTATCCCAAATATATATTTGCATGTGTATACATATGCATATATGCATATATATATATGTAATTCCCTGTTCAATGCATTGTGTTAATGATTGTTCAGAACTGAACTGAGTCCTGCTGCTCACGCCACAGCCAGGCATTAAACAGACCCTGCTGAAGTAAATGCAGTCCAGAAAGACACTTGCTTAGCATAAAAGTTGTGTTTTCAACCCCACTGACTTCAGGGGGACCCACCCACAAGCTGAAATTTTCACATATGCTTGAATGCTGTGATGAATAGGAATGACCTGAAATCCACACATTCAGTTAGACCATCCTTAACTGCTGACACATGTCACCAAGCCTTTGGGTGACAAAGGAGCCCATGAGGAGAAGACAGGGAAAGTATCATCAACTACTTATTTCCTGTAGGGGGAGATTTGCCTTGAGGAAATGAAGAGGAGAGGAAGGTCAGGATCCTAAGATGTGGAGGCCAGACTTCCTAGGCACAGAAATATACCTTGTGAAGAATGAGACACAGACTGCTTTGGAGGGCAGCTCATAGCAGGGAACCATGAGGGGTGGTCTGGACTGCCCCTGTCGCTGGGGGTTGTTAGGGAGCCTGGGGATTTGGGGCATTTTGATCATGCAAAACTGCCTACAACTCCACCCTCTTCTTGGTGAAACAGAGGCAGTTTTCATTAGCTCTAAAATATAAATAAGCTGAAAAGGGAGATTGCTCATCAGGCATTGGAATGGGCTGCCCAGGGAGGTGGTGGATTCTCTGTCCCTGGAGGTATTTAAGAAGAGACTGGATGTGGTAATAAGTGCCATAGACTAGTAACTATGGTGGTAGTGGATCAAGGGTTGGACTTGATGATCTCAGAGGTCCTTCCCAACCCATCTGATTCTATGATTCTATGACTTGCATTTTTTTTTTCTAATTGGACTGTAAGGAAAACATACTTGAGTCCTCAAGAAGGCTTTGAGAGTCTTGCTTTTAGTGGACTTGGTTGTAACGATGTTGAAAATTTTTGTTTCGAGAATTGACAGTCAATTCTGATGTCTGTTGTTTTTCATATTGTCTATTCTGTTTGCACAAGTTTATGGAAGACTTGAATGGATACTTAAATGCAGTGATACAGATGCAAAGCTACCACTTTTCATAGAAATGTTGTTTTTCCCCTTGCTGATTCAAGAAGATCAAGTCCTTGTACAGTCTACACACACAGTGAGTTACAGCTGAACTTCCACACTGTTTTTTTGTCTTTGTTATATGCTTTGCCAATAAGCCAAAAGGGTCACACTTCAATGCCTTTCAAAACTGGAAAGCCAAGTTTGTAACCCATTTGCATAATTTTTCTTCCCTTCTTTTTTGTCCTTTGTTGTCTCAGTCAATCTCTCCAGTCACTATGATATCCCTCAGTGAGTAGTTTTTATTTCTTGCTTCCAAAAGCTTCTAGGAGGTTTTTTCCTTTGGTGGGTTTTTTTTTTTCCTCTTATTTTTCATTTATTTCTCCTTTGCATCACAATTTCTTGTTACCTGAGAGCTGTTGTAGAGAATATGTATTTTAATTTGCATTCATGACACGTAAGTTCTGCCACTTAAAGTGTTTGTCCTATCATATACTTCCCTGAGATGGCTTTCCCTTCTGGCTGGATCCAAGCTTCCAAATACTCACAAAACCAGAAAGCTGCAAGCTGGCTTCTTCCCTGCTATCTGTCTCAGGAACCAGGCCAAGCCTTCAGGACTTTTTCTGGTGAAGTTACAAGGAAAGACACAAACTATTTCTCTTGAAAGGTCCTGCTGGGGCTGCGTGCAATGGATTTCATGCAAGGAGGTCCCCTGTGTTTGCAGACTGATTGAATGGGTGGTTTCCTGCTGAAGCACAAAGGACTTTGCCCAGAGAATTCTTTTCAGTAATAGATGGCCAGAGATACTTTTCAGTACAGCATTTTAGCCATGATGACCATTTATTTGGAAAGGGAAAAACCCCTCAATAATCAGTATTTGCCTATTAAAAGAGTCAGGCCTGTGCTGATATCTCCCACTATTTGTTCTGTCTCTGATTTCTCAAAGTTTCACAAAGGCCTGTCTTAGCGTTCTTCATTAGTAATCTAAACAAAGTGAGTAAAAAAAGAAATTGTGTGCTCAAATAATATGGACTAAAACATGCCTGCTTAATTTTATGTGCACTAAGGGTCATCGCAATGATTACTTACAGCAGGTTAACTTTAGCGTGCTCATAATTATTTCCAGGATCAGTGAAGAACAGGTCACCTTTCAATACACAGGAAGCTTAATGAGGGGTGAAAAGTTAAAATCCTAGATGTGAATTACTCCAAAATATGGGACTTTATATATAGATAAATATGTATCTAAAGACTAGTGGGTTACCAATGATATTTGTTCTCTAAATTTAAACAGAAAAGTCTAGCTAACCATTTTAATGTTTTGGTTTACTCAGTGTTACTTTACACAGTAATCTGCTGTACTTAAGCATATTTTACTTTAGAGAAGTAATTGACTTTTATAAAGAGAAAATGTTATTTTGAGGACATAAAATTTATTTATAAACCAGGTTCAGGCTCTGAAGTGGGAAGTTGGTAGGAAACTGGAAAATGGTTAGCTGTTTGTGGAAAGAATTTCCTCTACTTCTCATCTTACATTTTTTTTTTATTTTTTTATTTTTGAATCTCCACCACACCTTAAAAAAAAAAAAGTTAAGACCTGGAGGAACAGTATCAACTTTCTGCCTTTTCATGAAAGAAACACTAGTGTTTCTGTTCATTTCTTTTATAAATTTGACCAAGTATTACCTTTCTTCTTTTTGCATCCTACACTCTGTTTAATTTAGAAGAAACTTATAACAGTTTCTGAAAAATTACTGTGAGGAAACAATTGCTTTCAGAGAATCCTTTATTTCTCTGAGGGGCAAACTGAGCTGATACTTTCCATTCCTCACAGTGATGGGATAACTGGCAGCAGCTGTGGAAGTGGGGAAAGGGTATATCAGAGCTGCTGGGTCTCACCTGCCTCCTGGGATGGAGGAGGGTCCTGCAGCTCTGGATGTGCAGCATGGATTGGGAGCTGACTGCAGGTGGAAGGAGGTGAGGTTGTCTTTATTTGTTTCCTTTAACTGTGTTATTAGTGAACTGCGTCTTTATTTTTTTTTCCCTGATGTTTATCTCTGCAGAGGTGCACTTGTAGCCCATAACTTTGACTTTTTTTAAAAAAGGTTCATAAATATGTTCCCTATGGAAAGGGAGGGATTTCTTTCCTGAATTATTAATGAGTGTGATTTTTGTGGGTTTCTTTTTTCTGTAAGGTTGACTTATCTGCACAACTGTTTCCTTCTTGGCTTCTGTTTTGACAGACTTGTAAATTCTTCTCTGCATACTCATTCCCTTTTCTCCTTCGTTTTGATGGCATATGGGGTTTGGGGAGTTTGGGAAAGGGGTAGAAGAAGGAGGTGAGAGAGGTTACCCTTACTGTGGAAATGTCTCAGTTCTAGAAAATGATGGGATATACTTTAAAACACCTAATTCTTTCAGTACAAAAATAGGGTAATAGTCTCAAAAAGAAATAAGCAAGTAAAATTACTTTTCTAGGG